CCCCCTTGTTCTTCTGATCTAACACCAAGGCCCGCACACGCGCAGACGTTGCTTCTGGAAGAGCACCCAAATCTTCCTGTTCAACCACCTAGGAACGTGTCTGGCGAATGGCCTCCAACCTACAAGCGATGGCCTCCACCCTAGTCCACTTCCGCATATGAGATAGGACATACACTCTACACTACACAAACTCTATCCACACATATCCACACATCTTCTACACTTCGTCCAATGCAACTGTCCAAGACTTCAAGAAAAGCATGAGACGTCCAAAGAACTGTCAGGGTAGCAACAGGTACGCAATAGGTATATGAGTTAGGACTTTCAGGTCTCAGTAACCCCTTTGTCCAAGGCCAGCGCATCATCGCGAGATAATGGTTCTGAATGATCAGCCTGAACATCTTTACAATGAGGTTCAGGCAGGCAAAAGGCTGCAAGTGAAGAATTGAAAGAGGTTCTGCAAACTTCACCCTGATGAGTTGGGACTTGGACCCACTCCCCATCGCTTGTTCCTCCGATCTAACACCAAGGCCCGCACACCGGCAGGCGTTGCTTCTGCTCGAGAACCTCCATCTTGAGGGTCAGCCACCTAGGAACATGTCTTTTGAAGTCTGCAAGGCCTGAAAGTCTTCACCATGGTGTTTTCAAAAGCGGTGAGGCGGCCCAAGAAATGAAAGGATAGCAGGACAACAAGTTAGAGCTTGTAATTATTATACCCCGCCCTTTCCATGCGCAACCAATCTGACTCTTTGTTGCTGCGGTCTTAGTCACTGTCCAAGGTCGGGGCATCCCCGGCTGACTTCAATTCTGAAGGCTCAGCTCGAACATCTCCGCGTTGAGGTTCCTAAGGATCGCTCCAACATGCAATTGGCAAACGGCTGTAAGTGAAGAATTGGAACAGGTGTTTGCAAGCGGCTCACCCTGATGAGTTGGGACTTCGACCCATTCCCCATCCCCCTTGTTCCTCCGATCTAACACCAAGCCCCGCACACCAACATGCGTTGCTTCTGCTGGAGCACCCCGATCTTGAAGTTCAATCTCCAGGGGACACAAGAGGAGCATCAAGAGGACTGATATGCACTGATACAACAAACCAGACCCATGAGTTAGGACATCCACTGTTCAACCACCCTTTCCATGAGTTGGGATTCTGCATGAGCAAAACATATATATATATATGTCAATCATCTATGTGTGCATTTGTCAGTGCATCAAACCAGACAAGGCGACAACTGGCCTGAAAAGATAATGGAAGCTTCCTCCGCTTTGGCGGTCTGACCTGCACGTGAGACAGGCCCTAGAACGCCACAGTTTTGTCTTATTGGCAAAGGAGAACTCACAAGCTGAAAACCAACTGCGTTCCACTGATGACACTAACTCATCTACAAATCCTAACTCATCTACAATAAATCCTGATGGGTCTTTCATCTGGGATATCGGCAGGTTCCTGCGCATCTTCTGTTTGATGGAGATTGTGGTCGACCTCACGGTTCAGTCAACGACTGCTTGCACCACCAATGAGGACTATACTCTAAGTGTGTATACTAGTGTGTGTATATATATACATACACAACCAAAGTTTGCAATTATATATAATATGATCGAAGGACTGATCTTTTCCCTTTGCCATCAGCTGTGAATTTTGCATTGAAGCGTGCACTCACGCTTCGGTTGAATTTGGCCACCTATGGCGTGAAGCTGCATTAGAAAAGTCTTTCTCATGACTCTTGAGTCTATCTCATGAGTCAGAGTCATAGTTAAAGCTGCATTTCCATCTGATCCTGCGAATGATCTGCTTGGTATGCCTTCCACCTGGGCTATCCATGTCCCACGCGCTGAACTCAGATGAATCCTCAGATGAATCGCTGTCTTCATCCGGATACGTTGCCAAGTTGGACTCCTGAGTGGCCTCATCTTCGAGACCAGAAGGATTCACAACAATCACCCGTCCATCATCATCCTCGTCTTCAGACTTTCCGTCATCCTCATGTTCAGACTGGACGCCTTCACCAGAATGGTCGCTCCCACCCTTCTTGCCAAAGCAAACAGACAAGCATGCCATCAAAAGGAAAAGGATGCATGCCAACAGCTTTGGCCATTGCAAGATAGACGACATGGAGGCAACTAGCTGCTATGTCCTATCTCTCCTGCACATTGTGTATACTTTTACAAAGAGCGCCAAAAAATGAAAAGGCTCCTGTGTCACTTCCTGTGTCCTATCTCTTGTGCACTGCTTATTTTGATAATGCTATTGCCAATGCAACTAAAGAGCCCTAGTTGCTTGTGCCACATGTAGCTTCTCACACTTTCTACCTGTTACTGCCCTCAAAGCTTCCAAACAAAACTATATCTCCTGCAATACCCCCGAGCACTAGCACTGACAGAGCTCGGAACTCGGAACTCTGAGATCCCCACACGATCAGCCGACATGATCAGCTGGGCTTGTGATGGAAAAACTAAACGTGCATGTGTATATATATATACCTTTTGGAGCTATTCACTAGCATTTTTGCAGAGCAATTGAACCAGTGGCGTGTTATGTAACTGTATCTATTTGCTGCGGATGAAGTGTGAAGCCTCAACCAATCCATGCACTTCTTTCTTGGAAAGCGGCAGGCGGCAGGCAGGCATCCAGTTCGAGTCCCAACTCACAGTACACAGTCAACATCTGATATACCAAGTTGAAACTTACAAGAGTGCGCGCATGCGTTGCGTGGTCCAGGTCTGTTTGTTTTGGCTTTTGCTGCTGAGATAGGACTATATGGTCCCCCAATTCAGATTGCACACATGAGATAGGAAAACAAAAATCACACTGCCCACATATGCACAGAGCACATGAGATAGGAAAGTAAAATATCAAGATCGTCCGACTACTCCCATCTCTCTTGGAGTCAGTATATATATATATATTGGTCTAACTAACTGGCGAGGCCCGAGCCTCTGTCACTACAACATGCATGGATGTCAAGGTGCAAATCCTTACAAAATGATTGGCCAGGATATGGTCTTGCAACCGTTTCCCGGCTTTGGAAGATGGCTGAAGATGTCCAACAAATCAGCACCTACCCAGTCATGTCCCTCCCAGTTTCCCCTCACCCTGTTCAGCGCTGGACCACGTCCGCTGTTTGTTCAAAAGGACCACTCGGTGGGCGACACCTGCAAACCCGCCACGCGCCTGTGTCAGTTTAGCACATCCGGAGTCTTCCCTACTATCTCCTATCTATTTTCTTTTGCATCGTTGCTAGTAGGTTGGAGGCCATCGGCATTAGGTTATAGAGGCCATTGCAATTAGGTTGGAGGCCATCGCTGGTCGGTTGGAGGCCATTTGCTATTAGGAGGGAGGTCGGCCAGTGTTGGTGCATGTGCTAGACATGGGGATCGTTTGACATCAAAGCCATATTTCGCCAAGGAAAAACCCAGGAAGGGAGAGTCCTAGGCATAGAACCAGTAGAAGGACTCAGAGAAGCAATGCAGCTTCAACAAGGGGAAGTGTGTAACTCGGAAACATCTGCATACGGTTTGATCGATGCCCCATACCTGACTAAACGGAATGGATCTTTCACAATTCGTTGTTCACGGAAAGGCTCTTTTACGATTCTTCGCAATTGGTTCACCCCGTTCTTCACCGAGCAAAGGCGAGGTCGTTTCCCCACGTCGCAACTCCATGAAACGCACGTTGGACACCGAGGGACCAAATGCACTCATCGTACTTCAAGCTGCGACCATCTCGGCAACGCAAGACGCCTCTGTGCCGAACTGCACCCGCGTTGTGCAAAAGGCAAAGCCACAGAGCGTTTTTATACAAACTATCTTTCCCAAACAGCAGCGTGCTTTGGGGCCTTCAGCCATAGTAAAGGTCTCGGAGCAGTCCCAAACAAGGTTCCCGTTAGGTTCCCACAAGGTTTTGAGGATTCCCCAACACGATTCCCACACAAGGTTCCCACCCACAAGCTTCCCACAAGATTTCCCAGGGTTCCCAACAAGGTTCCCACAAGGTTCCCAAACAAGGTTGACACAAGGTTTCCCCAAGAGTCCCCAACAAATTCCACAAGGTTTCAGAGGAGGCCACAAAGTTCCCCAACAAGGTTCAACAAGCCTCCTACAAGGTTCCCAACAAGGTTCTCAAACAAGGTTCCCACAAGGGCAGGTTTGTTGTCTTCAACCATAGTAAAGCCGTAGCAGCTCCAAGCAAAGATATTTGACAAGGTTTACAAGGTTCTGACAAGGTTCCCCAGGTTCCAAGGTTTGCAAGGTTCTCCAAGGTTCCCAAGCTTCCCACAAGGTTGCCACAAGGTTTTTGAGGTTCCTAAGATTTGAAGGGCACCACAAGGCTCCCACAAGGTGCGCAAGGAACCCGAGGCCCTGAAGTTGTCAAAGTGTTTGCAGGGTCCAAAAGCTTCCCAAAGCGAAAGGTTCCCAGGTTTCGCAAGTCCCCTAAGGCAACCAAGGTTTCCAAGGTGTCGCAGATTCCCAAGGTCACCACGGCTCCCACAAGGTTTCTAAGGTGCCGATTCAGCCTTAGATACAAGTATGTTTTCTGGGACACTAAGCAAGACGAAATGGAAAAACATCCTCGGAGACTGAACATGATTGCAGTGTATTCTATTGTGCTTCTAGAATCTGTGAAAGCTATCATTTTCTTACCTTGCCACCCTCCTGCCTTCCTTCCTTCTAACCTTCTAACCTTCTATCCTCTTACTCTCCTACTTTCTTACGCTGCTACTGTCCTACCCTCCCTCCTACTCTCCTGCTCCCCTTCTTGCTCTCCTCCCCTCCTCTCTTACGCTCTCTGCCCCGCAAAACAAAGCGTGTCTTATTTCCCAACAGCAGAATGCTCCAAAACCCATTCCCCCAAACTTCCCAAGATTCCAAAGGTTCCCAGGTTCCTTTATAAGGTTCTGAAGGTTCCCACAAGGTTCCCAAGGTTCCCAAGCTACCAAGGTTGCCACGGTTCCCAAGCAAGGTTCCTAAGGTTCCAAGGATTCCAAGGTCACCAAGTTCTGAAAGGTTTGAAAGGCAAGGTTCCAAAGGCCACTGAACATCCGTCACAGACATAAGCTCTTCAATGGCTCTCCTCATCTACGGCCGAGTCCGTTGAATGTTCTTTCTCAATGTCTTATCCTTCCACCCTCCTCTCCTCCTCTCCTGCACTTTTGGGCCCCATTGGACACCCCTTGGATGGTTCAGGTACCTTGCCCTGATCGGTTTTGCCCAAAGGATTTGGTGTGTAGCGAAGTGTTTTGGGCCTCGAGTTCTATTTCGGGCCCCGAATCCGTCGGGCCCGGAGATTCGGTTGCCAAGGGCCCAAGCGTACCCCGTGATGCCTCAGCTTTCTCATGCTTTTATGCTTTATCTTTTTGTATCCTACACTCCTACCCTACGTTCACTTTCAGGCCCCGAATTCATATCTCTTCTCTGTAAATTCGTTGGAACATGTTGAAACATCTACGGCAGAGCAGTAGAAGATTCAAAGGATGGACAATACACCCTCCTACCCTCTTACCCTCCTACTCTCCCACCCGCCTACTCTCCCAACCTCTTATCCCTCGAATGGCGTGTGTTCCTGCAATGATGTTGACGTTTGCGTCGAAGCGGGCCTGTCAACAACAGATCTACCTTGGACAGCTTTTCCATCACCTTGTGTCCATTAGATAAGTGGGTCACGGTGCAAAGTCACCTGGATGCTGCCGGACTTCACAATTGCATAGAGGATGCTCTTTTGTGAGCCTAGCAAAACATGTGGGATTGTGCTGTTGGGGATATTCTTTGGGCTTATTTCTATGGCCTTGAGGCCACCCAAATTGTAGCGGACATGTGTGATTTAGAATTGGAAAGACACTTTGACCCCAAAATGATTTAGAGCCAGTGTGGATTTCGGGTTGTCTCCGAGAACTATTCCCAGGTACTACAGGTGCTTAAAACTTCTCACCTCTGAGGATGTGGGTGAAACCGACTTTTTGTCAATTCTCAGAGGGAAAAGCATTCCCACCTGTCTCCGCATGGGACACCTCGTAGCCGCTGTAGAGCTCCTAGGCCATGCACCATGTCCCGGCGGACATCGGCAAACGCCATGGATGGCAGGTTGTTCTTCTAGATCAAAGAGTTTCTTGACAGATTTGTTGGGCCTGTGTCAAACTGCGACCCTCCCAAAGAAAAAGAACATCCAGGATGCAGATCCAAGCATCACAAAGTGCAAACACCTCTCTGTGCCAATATAAGTGTTTGACAACCTAATAGCAATGGCCTCCAACCTACTAGCGATGGCCTCCAACGGCATGCTTTCCAAGAATCATTTTCGGCAAACATGGCCACCAAGCTCACCGCTTGCGAAAAGGATCAGTGACCACACAAGAAAGCCCAACAAAGCCAGTGCCTGTCAATCACCCCACTTTGTGGACGACTTGTTCCTTGTCGGCATGTTATTGACACATGGTCCTGACATGTCCCGATGAAGCCTCAACATTCTCAAACAGGTCTTGACTTCTAAGATCTTGACCTGAAGTTCGTCCAACCACCCAGCCAACCTCACCTTTCTCGCCGGGTGACGATGCCTTTCTCTTTCAACACCATCATCGCCAGTGCCCGAGCGCCGGCTGTGTGCTGCGGCAGCAGTCCACTCCGCGTGACGAGGCCCACGGTCACAGTGGCAGCTGAGGGGCCAAGCTGCGCGAGTTCCTCCCACGGGAAACTGTGTAGTAGCGTCTTTGCTCCAAGTAGCGATGCCAGGAGCCCCTAGTAGCTTCTTGTTCCTAGTAGTACGGCCAGGAGCCCCTAGTAGCGTCCTTGCTCCTAGTAGCGATGCCTGGTGATTGCTAGTGCTCAGTTCTGGTAAAAAAGAAGTTGTTTTATCACACTACGTCACTACGTTCTTTTCTTCAAACCCAGGCCATCAGGGAAATGTACTTGGTCAGCGGAAGATCTTGAAACTGAATATATTCAACCTGCCAACAAATATATACTCTAGGTTGGTAGTAGTAGCTAGTAGGTTGGATCGCTATTACTCTAGACTGGTGGTAGTAGCTCGCCTTCTTGAGCCGCTCGTGCATCGTCACCTCACCGGAGACATCGTGAGACATCTGATGCGTCTCAAGCACTGTCAAGCTTTGAAGCGAGCGAAGCGAAACGTTCGCAGTAGGGGCTCCTGGCCTCGCTACTAGGAGCAAAGATGCTACTACGGGCTCCTGGCCTTACTACTAGGACCATGTTTGACCCATGTTGAAATGGCGTTCTGCTCTCCCCTCGTCTACCCGCCCCGACCATGGTCGATGCATTCGCAGCCAAATGCCCCAAAATGATGCCACTGTTCCAAACCCACCAAAGCAACTCGTTCATTGTCAGCCGTGAACTACTCCGATCTCACGTTACTTGGCTCGACAACAAATAATTGAGTCAAGATGCGGCAAGCTCGAAGCCGCCAGCGCCGCCGCCCACCACCAGCACCGTCCTTGGCCGTGTAGAGCTCTCCCACAACAGTGGAATTGTTGAGGCAAACGAATTGGACGCTGTAGGAACTAGAAGCTACTAGTAACAAGGGCATTGCTGCTTGTAACAATTGATGGGACTTGCTGGACGGTCTGAGAGTATGGCCAGGAGCTACTAGTAGCTTCTTGAATCCCTGCTAATTGTTTGTTTGTACTGAAGCTCTGTGGTGTCTTCTCCTGAGAGTTTTGCTGAATATGCCACAAAGTGCGATGATAAATCTGGAAGCAATGACATTGAACTCTTATGTAGAAGAACAAGTGAAAGCAATCGCAATACTGCGAACACGTGAAGCTGATGATGAGAAGAAGCAAAGTCAAAGTGGATGAAATCACCACAAAAGACAGTTAAAAGTAAGCCGCGATCCAACAAATAGGTATATATATATATATCTATTTAGAACTCTTCACCGGAATGAGGTGGAGACCAAACAACCTGACGGAGACCGGACCTCCGGTGCCCAAGGCTCTTCGGACCGGTCCAGCTGGGCAGCCGCTCCAAAAGCCGTGCCCAGCGTCGCCCAAAGCCATCGATCGGCTTCACCGGCGTGACCGAGCGAGGCACCTCCTCTTGCCTCGGAAACACCCAGGCAGAGGAACACACTACTAGGGGCTCCTGGCCTTACTACTAGGAGCAACGACGCTACTAGTAGCTTCTTGTTGCTAGTAGTAATGGCTTCCACCCTAGTAGCGATGGCCTCCACCTAGTAGCGTTCCACGTGCCGTCAGAAAATACAAGTCTGACTAAACGTGATGCGTTGGCGAACATTGGGAGACACCTCCTGCATCACCAATTCCACACAATGAAACCTGGTACGCCTCTGGTGGTATTTTTTCCAACAAAATTGACCCCAGACGCGCGAACAACAAATCCAATCCAAGCCGCACACGCGGTGCCGAGCCGATATTGATGGACAAAATGTCGTAACCTCGGGGTGTTCATGACCGTTACGGTTGGAGGAAACAAAATAGCAATGGCCTCCAACCTAATAGCGATGGCCCTTGGGGCGTTCATGACAGGAGGAAGGTGTTCAATGGAGTTCATGGTAACGGGAGATTTGCCCAGTGCGCACCCCAAATGAACACCTTTGCGAGCAACTTATATGAACACGTGGCTGGAACACATGTAGTTGGAACCAAACGGTGATGATCTGTAACAGGTGCCTTTTCCTTTTCTCTGCCTCTTCCTTTAAACTGACAACTAGTTAGTTTTGAAAACTCTTTTGTTTAGGGTGACTATTGCGACGCAAACTAGAGGTGAATCAAACCCATGACCTTTCCTCTAGTTTCTGATATTTGTTTTTGAATTTGCTTTGATCCCACAAACAACGCTTCCCATGGCTTCAGATGCAACCAAATCTGGCCAGAGAGGCGGGAAACTTGACATACGTAATTAATATAGTCACTTGGCATGCAGTAATAAACTACCTCGCAACATTTGATTGTTTCCGCATTGGTGGGATGCATATTAAAAGATTGCCCAGTGACCAAGTCAAATTTGCAAAACTGCTATGAACGTTGCTGGTGTTCACTGGAACCGGGTTGTGGCTACTCAGCTACTCTTTACCTGTAAAGTTGGGAAAAGGGCATGAGCACTGTAGCAAACTCCCCATCCAAAACGCCACCATGGAAAAAAATTCTAGACGGAAAACATCCGCTGGAATGACACCTCTCCCTCCCTCGTCACCACCATGCCGCGACCGCGTGGCGGATGGGTGGACGCTGCTCGGCCAGCAGCACTTGCCGCTGTTCCAGATCGACGCCCACGCAGGTTCCGTGGATCAAGCGAACACGGGCGAAGCGCGCCAGGATGTTCAAATCCAAATGGCACTCACGGCGAGTGTAACTTGGTGAGATATGGTCATTGGAGCTTGTGCAGAGGAGACATATTCAAACATACCAACAAGATGGAGCCCACAAACCCGAATGCAAACACACATGTCAATCCACTGTGTATAGAAAGAGACACAGCCGGTTAGAGTCTCTTTTTTACGCTCCGGCATGCCGTTGGACATCATGCGCTGGGGACTCCACCACCAAGGCAGCATGTGCTGGGGACTTCACCACCAAGCTCCGTCTTCGTCATGAAGGGTCTTCGTTTTGCATTCAAAACAAGCACTGGCGTAAAGGTTCTGGCAGATCCACATCACGAAAGAAACAATGGCATTGTCCCAAAATCTCGAAAAGAAGCACTTGAACATAATAACCAATAATACAGAGAAATCCACAACTGCGGCGTCTGATCTTCTTGTAAATAGGAGTGCAAGACCGTGCGTTGTTGTGTTTCACCTGCGTCAACAAGAAGTATATGAGACACACACAGCGGAAGTGAGTAAAACTATCCTATAAGTCCAACATTGGCATCGGTCCCGTATGTGTGTGCACACTCTTGTGGGACACTCTTGTAGGACACTCTTGTGGGACACTCCTGTAGGACACTCTTGTGGGACACTCTTATACAGGGTTATTCAAAAGACTTGCTTGAAAATCGCAAACCGATGTAAACCCTTGCGCCTCGGATGAGCCTATTTGGCTTACACACGATCTTACGCATAGTGTCGATACACATTCACACCCCATGGCCAAAGTGGCAAAATTTTGGCTTCCGCATCGTTCTTCCGCATCGCTTCACGTCGGCTAGTCTAGACTCCCTTCCACAACAGTTTCTGTCATCTTCGGCTGTGCAGGGTTTAGCTTGCGCAAACCAAACTCCAGAACAAGTCCCTCGTGTAATTTCATGACGGAGGTCTTGACGATGCTCACTTCTCTTTTTGTCTACACAAACCGCCAAGTCAAAGCCAGCTGCTCATCTCACCTCGGAAATCGCTGCAGTCATTGTTTTTCCTTCATGTAGAAGGTATGCAGAGAGGTCATGAACATGTAGCCCTGACCGTGGCAGGGCACACTCCGGGACACTCTGCGCTTGACTTCCATGGACATGTGTCCCTGACCGTGGCAGGGACCACTCTGGGACACTCGCTTGACTCATGGGGCCAATAATTTCATAGTAAGATAGAAGAATAGCCCGTCGCAGTTATGTTTTCTTTGGTGCTTATTTCTAATCAACGGACCCCCCGCCAGGAGCCACGGAACATCGAACGGCACCGATCTCCGCACGTTTCGTCCGCGTCATCCCTGAAAACTCCCGTTCGCTCACGGGAGACCTCCGGAAAGTGGACCCTCGGCGTTGGGGGTCTGATGGGGTCGGAAGGAAAGTCGAAGTTGGAATTGAAGCATGTTGAAGCAAACAGAGGACAAAGGGGGATGCCCAAAACTGGCCCGTTAACCCACGGGAGCATGTCCTATACGAAGAAGAGGTTCTATATTATATATATAATAAAATAAAAAATTAGCCCAGCTGGAGACCCCAATAGCAAGATACAAACCGAGACAAAAAGAAAAATCTGGAAACAGCTGCTGTTTTCAACACATCGACCATCTCTTCCTTGGACACCATCATCACATAACCGGGACACCTCACAAAATGACCAGGGCACCATCAAAACATGACCGAGACATGATTGGGACACCATCACAACATAACCGGGACACCATCACAAGGTGACCGGGACACCAGCATGACATGACGGGGACACCATCACAACATGACCGGGACACTATCACAACATGACCGGGACACCGTCACATGACCCAGACACCATCAAAACATAACCGGCACACCGCCAAAACATGACCAGGACACCGTCACAACATGACCGGGACACCATCAAAACATGACCGGGACACCGTCACAACATGAGCGAGACACCATCACAACATGACTGGGACACCGTCACAACATGACTGGGACACAATC